CTATAAAGTATGGGCTAAAAGAAAAACAGCAACCTAGGACTGGAACACCCAACATAATTGTGGGCCCTAGTCAATGGAGCAAAATCAATGTCCAAAAAGAAGCAAGGTTGGTAACCAAATCAAAAACTGAAATATATGCCTCAAGAAAATATATTTCTCCTCAGTAGTAGAAATCACTGTAACAGAGGACAATTTTAGGCCATTAAATCTTGTTAAACTGACTGGAGGACTACATGATGGCAGAGGGTCAAATAGAAGCTCAACATGCCAAAGACCCAGCCAGTATTACAAGCAGGGTCCATGGCAGTTTCTGAAAGTGCTGTGTGGTCATGCTCAGCTGAGCCTATTACAGAACCCTATGATGTTGGAAAGCAAAGGGCAGTGAAGACTTAAAGGATGGGAAATGATGCAAGAACAAGAAGGTAAAAAATGGAAGAGAATGCCGAAACCGGTTTGGCTCAGTGGATAGAGCGTCGGCCTGCGGACTGAAAGGTCCCAGGTTCGATTCCGGTCAAGGGCATGTACCTGGGTTGCGGGCACATCCCCAGTGGGAGATGTGCAGGAAGCAGCTGATCGATGTTTCTCTCTCATGGATGTTTCTAACTCTCTATCTCTCTCCCTTCCTCTCTGTAAAAAATCAATAAAATATATTTTAAAAAATTGGAAGAGGAAAGGAAAGCAGATAAAGAAAAAAGAGTTCTTCCAGAATTTTTACCAATAATTTAAAAAACAGACTTAGCTATTAAGAGTAATGGAATCAGCCGGCCTGCGTGGTTCAGTGGTTGAGCGTTGACCAATGAACCAGGAGCTCACCTTTCCCCGTCAGGGCACATGCCCGGGTTGTGGGCTCCATCCCCACTAGGGGGAGTGCAGGAAGCAGCAGATCAATGATTCTCATGATTGATGTTTCTCTCTCCCTCTCTCTTCCTCTCTGAAATCAATAAAAAGGTATATATATATATATATATATATATATAGAGAGAGAGAGAGAGAGAGAGAGAGAGAGAGAGAGAGAGTAATGGAATCGAAAACATTTCTAAATCAATTCCCAAAACATTTCTCATTCCTTCTAAAAAAGATCTTTAAAAAATTTTTTTAAATAAGTTTTAGTTGATTTTAGAGAGAGAGGAAAAAAGGAGAACGATAGAAACATCTATGAGGGAAGCATCCATCAGCTGCCTCTTGCACGCCCCTACTAGGAATCCAGGCATGTGCCCTGTGACCTCTTGGTGCATGGGTCACGCTCAACCACTGAGCCACACTGGCGGGGCTGAAAGAGTTCTTAAAAATACAACCAAAGAGCCCTAGCTGGTTTTGCTCAGTGGGCAGAGCATCGGCCTGTCCCGGGTTCCATTCGGGTCAAGGGCACATGCCCGGGTTGCGGGCTCCATCCCCAGTAGGGGGTGTGCAGGAGGCAGCCAATCAATGATTCTCATCATTGATGTTTCTCTCTCTCCCTTCCTCTCTGAAATCAATAAAAATATATAACTTTTTTAAAATACAACCAAAGAGGTAAGGCAACAATAATAGTGCCAAATAAGCAATGTCAGTGACTCGGAATCCGCTTTATCCCGTCCTAGAGAGTATTAGCCACATAAGAGCAGTTATCTTTTAAACTTTCCCTCCAACGTCAAGAGATCCGGATGATATGCGGTCATTAAAATGGTGACATTAATGAGCTGCTGTCACTAACCCCTGAGCTTCCAGCACAAGCTACAGAAATGACATGCCTACGCCTTGCCTCTGCCCTAGACTGCAGCCTGCAGCCATTTCCTATGGCACCGGGGATCCTGCGCCGCGGGGACAGGCACCCGAGTCACCTGCGCAGCCCGGGCTCCTCCGGGAGCAGCTGGTTCCATAGACGCCGAGGGCGGGGGCTTGGCTCTGGTCAGGCCTGGCGTCGCGCCCAGCGCGGGGGGAAGTGGAGGCTGTGACCGGCGGAGACGCCCGGCGCGGGTCTCCGGCAGCAG